TCCTGGGCTCCTGACTCTCTGAGCACTGTCAGCTGACTCCCTGGGCTCTGTGAGCTGACTCCTGGGCTCTGTCAGCTGACTCCTAGGCTGCTGACTCCCTCAGCTCTGTCAGCTGACTCCCTGGACTCTGTCATCCGACTCCTCCCCATGTGGGGGTGTCCTGCCAGCTGTAAGTCAGGAGTCAGTGAGTTAGGAAGCCTGTGTTCTCTGTACCAGTAAGGGAATACCAGCCTAAATTGGAATGGGACTCCACAGACCATAGTCACAAACTAGCTTCCTCCTTTGCCAGACGTTCTCATTCCCTGGCATGTCTCCCTCATTTCCATGTCTGGGTTGCTATTCCTGCAGTTTTTATCTGTCTCCCTTGTTAAGCATTCAGAGCAGCCAGCACTGGCAATTGAGGTGCTGTTTCAGAGCAGTGGGCCGTCTTGGTGCTCACCTGCCACCAGCTGGTATGACTGCGGCCCCGTCACGCCGGCACCCAGCTCTGCTGGCCCAGGGTTGGTGAGGCTGCTCTTCATCTCGTCCAGGCCCCCCGCCAGCGACGCCATAGCAGAGTAGTCTGCGGTCTGTGGGGAGAAGAGCAGAGAGAGAGACTGAGGCTCTGCAGATTGGCATGAGTTGGAAAGTGGGGGGGGGGAACCATTCGCAGATGAAAGCAATTTCAGAGGTCAGATTCACACCCACCCTCAGCCCCCGTCAGAAGCACCTGGACCAAAGAGACCCATGAGCAAAGAGCAGAGATCAAGAACAGAAGGAAATGAAATCAGGTGGGGCCAGAATCATCTGGGAATTAAAACATGTGGATGTGGAATAATTTGGGAATAAAATTATGTGGGATTGGAATAATCTAGAAATGAAATATTATAGGACTGGAATATTCTGGAGATTAAACAATTTAGCAATAAAATATTCTGGGACTGAAATGATCTGGGGATGAGAACGTGGGAATTAAATATTCTAGGAATTAAATCAGGTGGGACTGAAAAAATCTGGGAATTAAATCATGTGGGAATGACATATTTTTGGAATGAAATCATGCGGGTTTGGAATAATCTGTGAATTGACTATTCTGGGACTCAAATAAACTGAGAATGAAATAATCTTGGCCTGGAAAAACCAGAGAGTAAAATATTCTGAAGATTAAATAAGATAAAATATTTTGGGACTTGAATAATCTGGGGATTACAGAGCCCCTGAAGGGACCTGTGCAAAAAAAAATGCTGTTACTTTTGTGTGTGCACAAGAGTGTTGCGTGCACATGACTTACTTTCACATGCGCACAAGATATTTTCTCATGCACACGGCTTTCACGTAGGTACAACTTGCTTTTGCCTGTGCATGTGATACCTTCATATGCACACTAATTTCACGTAGGCGTGACTTGCTTTCGTGTGCACGAGGTACTTTTGTGCATGCATGTGGAAATAAGAGCATTTTATGCTTTTGCACAGGTCCATTCAGGTGCTCTGAAGGTGATGAAAGCATATGGGAATTAAATATTCTGGGAATTAAATCAGGTGCTACTGAAAATATCTGGGAATCAAATCATGTTGGAGTGGAATCATTTGGGAATAAAATCAAGTGGTATTGGAATAATCTGGGAATTAAATAATCTGGGACTGGAATAATCTATGGATGAAAGCATGTAGGAGAGAAATATTCTGGGAATAAAATTATGTGTGACTGGAATAATCAGGAATTAAATCACATGGGATTCGAATAATCAGGAATATTCTGTGACAAGTTTAATTAGAGAATTAAATAATTTGGGAAAAGATAATACAGGACTGAAATATTCTGGGGATGAAATAATCTGGGAATTAAATATTCTGGGACTCGAAAATTCTGGAAATGAAAGCATGTGGGAGTGAAAAATTCTGGGAATGAAATTATGCGGTACTGCAATAATCTGGGAATGAAACACCCCAGGCATGAACTAATCTGGCAATGAAAGACTTTGGGACTGGAATAATGTGGGAAAGAAATAATCTACAAATGAATGAAATAATGTTTCATAAGGTTCACAATGAGAAATGCGGTGAGTGTGCTTTTCTTTGTCAACGAGGTGTATACATGGGGGGGGGGGGGGGGTTAAGAAATCCCAGAATTCCCTGTAGCTCAACCCCTCTCTATCACCCCACCCACCCACAGCACTAGATATAGGTGATGGATCAGCCTCACCTGCTTGTGACCTCACATCACAATGGGGGTGGGGGTGACAGTGACAGCTTTCCACCAAAACGCACCCCCAGATTACTCAAGGCACCTCTAACGACTTCATCCTTTTATTACTGCCATGATGCTGAGAAACGGCGCGGCCACTAATTTTGATGGAGCAGAGTGTCATTAAGCTGGTAATAGCCGAGCTGTGTGTTGATAGCGAGCGCTAATTGATAGTAATGGGGAGTGTGTGTGTGTGTGTGTGCATGTGTGTGTGCATGTGTGTGTGTGTGTGTGTGTGTGTGTGGAGGACATCATCACAATGAGGAGTACTGTGTCATCGAGGCCAAAAAGCATTTCTAAGAAGGATGGAGATGCGGCCCCACTCATGGCTGTCCTCACAGGCGGGACGAATATACGAGTCATACCCCTAAAGGCGCCGCCAAACGCAGTGTGTGACTCCCAGGCTGTAAGCCTGGTTTGCTGCGCAAATAAATCCGCGGGACCTGGCGGCTGCACACAGAGACTCAGCTTCAATGACACATTTTACAGGCTCCTGCCTGTGGCCCTGTGCTGGGGGGGGGGGCGTCCTTACAAGCCAACATGCTGCCCAGCCGTGACTCTTCCCCCTTCCTGTTCATGGGCCGCTCCTCCGGGCCGTGTAAGCGGTCCAATTCCCCCTCCCCCTTGCTCTGGTTTTTTCCGCACGGGGCACCCTACTGCCTACATGTAAATGAGCCGGAATAGCGCAGCGTAATTGAGGATTATGAAGTTTCGCCAGCACTGTGACAGGCCGCTAAAGAAGATGGATCATTCTCATTTTTTCCTGTAAATTTCGTCAATTTCGGAATTCATAAGCCATCAACCCTGATCAGAACGCAGACACACAGCTGTGACAGAGGAACTGGGAAAGGATGGAGAGGGAGAAAGGGAGAGAGGAAGACAGAAAGAGAGGGAGGAAGAGGCAGGCAGAGAGGGAGCAGCCTGCACCCATGTGCGCACAGGAGTTTTTGTAGCACATCAAGGAACTTAAAATAAAGAAAAGACTTTCCCTTAAAGCTGTGATTTTTCTGTCATATAATAAATAAATATACATCTGAAATATTGCTTGTGGTTCTTGTCTGCATGTTCACTGAACAAGGAGACATTGTAAAATTGACAGCCCAACTTGGTGTTAAATACATTTTATTTCCAACCTTGTACTACCAACACAGCTAGTTATTCTTAGTATTACCTTAAGATCTCAGCTTCACCAAACCATACATTTATTTCCCTGTCCCTTAGGTCTAAAACTGAATCTGTAAAGTGAGTAAAATAGAATTAAAGGATCCAACATTAATGCGCTGCGGGGTGTAAAGGTGTGCTAACATTAATGCGCTGCGGGGTGTAAAGGTGTGCTAACATTAATGCGCTGCGGGGTGTAAAGGGGTGCTAACATTAATGC